TTTGGTGGCGCCTTTATCCAATGATACCAAATATTTTAAGTGTAATTACAATTTTAGACAAATATGTAGGTAAGCAGGACATATAATCAGTTGATCAATGGGCCTGATAAGGAGCATATAAATAATGAACGGTAATTTTTTATGAAGTGACCACACCCCTATTAGGTTCAGTCCCCATAACTCCAGCCAACAACTTTTGGTACATTCCTGGAATTATCTCTGCATGAACCAAAAACTTGACCCTTTTTGTAAATGTGGTAGGATTTTATTGTCCTTTGCCAACATTCATTTGGTAATCTGTAAGATACTTTTATTCATTGGTAGAAATTAGCATACGTTCCTAGAGAAGTTGATGATTATTGAAATTTATTTTAAACTGTTGATATGATATAGCTGCTTACCCACAAAGACATGGCACTTAAGGACCTTTCCATTGGTTGATTGGAAAACCATATGTAGGCTTAGCTTTTGCATCAAAGGTGCTGTGGTTTTCTTTATATTAAATATTCTTTTATTTTTACAGATTTTCCTGAAATTTCCAAAATGTACGACCAGATTTACAACGATGACATGCTCATCGATACATTCAGCACAGTGTTTGATATGAAAGTCACTGTACAAGACATGAAGCAGTTAAAGCCGGACTTTGTGCAGAAAATCTACCTTCACTTCATTCGAGATTTAGGAGCAGATCTGGAGCAAATCAATCAGGTATGTCATCGCTTGTGGAGAGACAGGGAAATGCTGAATGTAAATTTTTTCCCAGTTGTTTTTAAGTCTTGGTTACTATACTGCTTTCAGTTGGCAGTTCTGGCTTGATATTACGTGCGCAATGATTGGAAAAGAGAACAATTTCCAAATTATCACGTGCACAAAAATCTGAGGCAAAGTACTAATAAACGTCATGTTCAAATTTGGATTGCAGTAATTTTCTGGTTTCACCAAAGAATCTGATCCTAGTATGTATGCAGAAGATTTTAGAAAATAAGTAGATATTAAGAAATTTCTAGTGGCAGTGAATGGACTGATGAAATGATAACCAGACTTTTATAGTTTAGAGAGTCTTTAAAGGTATAATATCACTGCATTGTTTCCTTATTTCATTTCTTTTTTTTCTTTTCTTTTCTTTTCTTTTAAATTAATACCATCATCAAAACAAACACAACTATACACTTGATGCTTGTTCTTACCAATCTCACAATGTGCAATTGATGTAAATGGAACTATTTTATCACTTAGTCTTATGCTCATCTCTTTCATTTTTATATAAATTCTTCATGCATTTTCAATTTGTAAGTAGCATGAAAATTTAAATTGAAAATTATAAAAGATACATATCAGCATAAAAAATAGACTAAGCCAAAGTAATAAGGTAGCTATTCTAAAAATTCTAGATATATCAAATTCTTCAAAGCAACCAGTCAATTTCCCAGTTAAAATTTTTTTAGTAGCAGAATGACTTGGTCCATTAAATTTTCATCCATGTAGGTCTTTTAGTTTCATCAGTGCTTTTGAAAACCACAACAGAAAAATTGTAAACATTGATAAATTTACTATTGATTCCAAAGTATAACAGGAGTCTTCCCTGGCTCTATTTGGTCAAAACTAATTTTATAATTTGCTCTTATTATACAAAATAATCCAAATTTTCCTGTGATGTGGCTTTGGACAGTGTTCTCAAACTTAGTCAGAGGATCTCCAATTTCCTACCAGCTTGTAATGGAAATTCTTATACTTTTGAGCTGATTTGAAGTTATTTCCAAATATGTAATATTCCAATTTAGTCAGTTTTGTGGGAATAGTCACACTTAGCTTTAGCAACTAAATTTGTGATTTACTTGAATGTAATCAAACTTACCAAAGGTATGTGTTAGTTGCAAATGGTTTCATCCCTGAGTATTAAGAATTGTCATGACTATTTTCTGTAAGTTTGTCAATTGATATCTGATTTAATAGTTCTTGTATATGTATATGTATTAGTTAGTTCTTACAATATATATATTTATATGTATATATATATTTCAGTATGTCATTAATGCTTGATAACTAATACATATTTGCCACATTTTCATTAGTCTATTGCCTATAATGATGTACATGTGAGTTATTGATGTATCTATGTCTAGAAAAGGAAAAAATTGACCAAGAGGAATTGAGTACTTAGGAAGTATGCTCTTTTCTCCAAGAGAAAGGAAATTAAGCTGCGTATTAACCCATTCAATCCGAATACTTCACTACCATCACGTGGGCAAACTACAGGAATTGTTCTTACTTGAGAGGCCACTCTGATGGATGTGCGGCTTATTTGGCCAGGCACACATGAAAGACTTGTGTATGGTGACTCAATGCCTCCCCTTTACTAAGTTTTTTTCTCTTTTTCTGCATAGGCATTTTTGTTTTGTTTTTTCCATTTTCCATTGTCCATGTTCATAATTATATTTTCTTTATCCAGATATTGGTAGACTGTTTTCCTTGAACAAACTTCATATCATCTCTCTAGGTAGCCCATAACTCAGTGTAAAAATATTAACAATAATATTTTGTTTTTTGTGGAATTTAAAAATTTTCTGTAATACAACCTGTGCCACCAGTCACAGCAGGGGCTTTTCCAGTCATAGCTCATGAACAGTACATTCCACATTTGTTTATTGATGGAAATAATGCAAAAGCCTCCTCCCAGATGCGAAATGGGTCTAGACGCCCTCTAAAAGATTTGTGCACTCGTGGCAAGTCATTCCCATCATCCCAGCCTTCATTCGAAATGCTCATGAAAGCAAGTTAAGTTATCCTGGCCCACAGCTAGATTTTCCCTTGACATGATGGTCATGTTATCCTAACTGTTGGAGTTAATAATTGATTGATTGAAATTTGAGTGACAGCTTTGAACTTTCCCCTCCCCATCATCCACTTTTTGTTGTTGTACTTTGTCCCCCCTTCCCAACATCCCCAGTGATATCAAAACTATATGTAAGGCAAGATGTCATAGTAAGAGTGAAAGAATGCCTTTATATAGTCATTTGGGGCTATAAAGATGCTAAATTGTGAGGCAAACTGGTATTAATGCTGGCACAGTGAGACCGTTCAAGGACAAGATGGGGCGGGGGGAGTACCTTCACACAGCAGCAAGGGTTGTTCTTTCTTTCACTGTCTAACAGGAAAGGTGGGATAAGCATTTCTCTCTTTCTGGTTCTCTGTATCTCTCTCTCTCTTTTCTCTTTATTTCTCTCTTTCTCTCTTTATCTCTTTCTCATCCTTCTCTCTCTTTATCTCTTTATCTCTTTCTCACTCCCTTTCTCTCTTTTATCTCTTTTATCTCTTTCTCACTCTCTTCTTATCTCTTTATCATCTTTATCTCTTCTCCACTCTCTTTCTCTCTATATCTCTCTTTCTCACTCTCTTTATCTCTTTATCTCTTTATCTCTTCTTCCTCTTTCTCACTCCCTCTCTTTCTCCTTCTCTCTCTCTCCTTCTCCTTCTCTCTCTCTCTCTCTCTCTTCTCTCTTCTCTCTCTCTCTCCTTCTCTCTCTCTCTCTCTCCTCTCTCCCTCTCTCTCTCTTCTCTCCTTCTCTCCCTTCTCTTCTCTCTTCTCTCTCTCTTCTCTCTTCTCTCTCTCTCTCTTCCTTCTCTCTCCTTCTCTCCTCTCTCTCTCCTTCTTCTCTCTCTTCTCTCTCTCTCTCTCCTCTCTCTCTTCCTCCTCTCTCTCTCTCTCTCTCTTCTCCTCTCTCTCCTTCTCTCTCCTCTCCTCTCTTCTCTCACTCTCCTCTCCCTCTCCCTCTCTCTCTCCTCTCCTCTCTCTCTCTCTTCCTCTTCCTCTTCCTCTCTACTCTCTCTCCTCTCTCCTCTCTCCTCTCTCTCTAACTCTCTCTTTCCTTCCTCTCTCTCTCTCTCTCTCTCTCTCTCTCTCTCTCTCTCTCTCTCTCTCTCCCCTCCCCTCTCCTCATATTCTCAATCTCTAAATGCTTTTCATCCTTTTTTGCTTACTCTCTCTCTTCGTCTCTCTCCCCCCCCCCCTCTTCTCCCCTTCCCTTTCCCTTTCCCTTTCTCTCTCTTTTCTCATTCATTCATTCATTATGTTTTAGAAAATGAAAAAGCTATGAGCCAGGTGCCGGATTTACTAAACTCTCGTAACAATCTGTCTCTGGTGTAAACAGTTTTAGAATATCATACATTTCTCAACTAGCGACTTCTATTAACCCTAATTTCAAGTGGCCATCCATGCAGAGACCTCCATCACGATACTAGAGCGAGCGACAAGAATCTCATAGCACCAGCTTCACATACGCCTATGTTATTTCAGCCCACATAGCCTTATATCACACACTAGCAATAAATATAACGCTACGCATCGGATAATATCGCACCAATCAGCGTTAGTCGGAAAAAAATCCAATCACAGCTGTTAACCACTGAACTGAATAAGGCAAACTATTAAATGAGGGTTTACTCATATACAGTTTCTATTTAATCATCACCAACCTTATTTGAATCTCTCTTTCGCCCCCCCCCTCCCCCCACTCTCCCCCCCCCCTCCCCGTCAAACATATTCAGAACCTCATCGCGTCACAGCCCCCCTCGGGCCAGAATTCGTCTCCCTATCATCTTACTCTCTCCTCACGACCTACTTACTTTCCTTCACCTGCTCACGCAGCTCACTCATCCTCTGACTCAGACTAGCCATCGAAGAATCCACTACTCTGATCTCCTCTCTCCTCTCTCTCTCTATCTCTCTTCATTTTCTACCTCTGCCATCTCTACTCACTCTCTTATCATCTCGTTCTCTTTCTCTTTCTCTCTTTCTCTCTTCTCTTTCTCTACTCTCTCTTCTTTTCTCTCTCCTCTTCTCCTCTCTCTCTTTCTCTTCTCTTTCCTCCTGCTCTCTTTCTTCTCTCTCCTTCTCTCTTTCTCTCCCTCTGGTCTTCGCTTACTCTCGATCGTCTCGTCTGTCTCTCTCTGGTCCTTCGCTTCTCTCTCTGCTCTCTCCTCTCGCTGTCGCGTCCCTGACGCAATTCGCGCGCGCTCGCCTCCCTCGCGCGCGTCTCGCTCGCTCTCGCAGATCTCGCGCCCGCGCTCGTCTCGCGCTCGCACGCTTCCTGCTGTCCTCGTGCGTCCTCGCCTGTGGTGTCTAGTCCCACCGACTGACCAGATTCCTTTCTATGCGCGTGCCATCACTCAATGGTCCTCCTTGGCCTGCTTGCTACCGCCACACGTCAGCTGCGTTCCTGCGTGCCGTTACGCGTGTTTCTTTGCCTCTCCTTCTGTCCTTCGGCTCTCTTCCTTGCCTTTACCTTTCTGTAGACACTGAGGATAGTCATCACTTAGTTATGCTGTTTGATAAAAGGAGTAAGGTGCTCGCCCCTCCGCTTATCTCGTCCTCCTCTACTTACTGCTTATGACACGTCTGGTATGTTACTTTTTAAGCGTATATAGTTTTTCTCACAAATGTCTTTTCTTCTTTCATCACCTTATTTTTTTCCTTCTACTTGTTCTTATCTACTTCTTTTAATTTATCTTCCTCTCTTTCCTCTCTTCCTCTCTTCTCTCATCTTGCTCTCTTCTCCTCTTCTCATCACACTATCTTCCTATCCTATTCTCCATTATCTCCCTCACCATATCACACCATCATCTCTACCATTATCTAAACCTTCCTCACCCTCCTCACTCCATCCTACTCTACTCTACTCATCTGTCTTCTCCTTAATCTCTCACTTCTATCATTCACACATTTATCTCTCTATGCTATCACTATCCTTCTCTCTCTTCTTTCATCTACTCAATCTCATCTATCTCTACGTTATCTCTCTCTCTTTCATTCTACTCGTCGCTCAACACTCTCCACTCTCTCACAACTGCTGCCGGTGCTAGAATATACTCTCCTCGATCTCGGCGTATTCTACTATATCTCTTCCCTCTTTTCTCTTTTCTCTCTTTCTTCTTTCTCGATGCTTCTCTTTCTCTTCTCTCTCTCTCTTCTCTCTCTCTCTCTCTCTTTCTCTCTCTCTCTCTCTCTCTCTCTCTCTCTTTCTCTCTCTCTCTCTCTCTTCTCTCTCTCTCTCTCTCTCTCTCTCTCTCTCTCTCTCTCTCTCTCTCTCTCTCTCTCTCTCTCTCTCTCTCTCTCTCTCTCTCTCTCTCTCTCTCTCTCTCTCTCTCTCTCTTCTCTCTCTCTCTCTCTCTTTCTCTTCTCTCTCTCTCTCTCTCTCTCTCTCTCTCTCTCTCTCTCTCTCTCTCTCTCTCTCTCTCTCTCTCTCTCTCTCTCTCTCTCTTCTCTCTTCTCTTCTCTCTCTCTCTCTCTCTCTCTCTCTCTCTCTCTCTCTCTCTCTCTCTCTCTCTCTCTCTCTCTCTCTCTCTCTCTCTCTCTCTCTCTCTCTCTCTCACATTTCATTATATTTCCATTAATATGTTATGATAATCCAGTAAAGCAATATTCTTACTCCTTATTCATCAGGAAGTGGATCCATTGCTAACAATAATTTTCCATTATGGTAGTAAGAGGTGTGTTTGTATATTGCTAATCTTTGTTACTGAATATTTATTATAATTTGTTGCTATAGAGGAAAAAAATCATACTGATGGAAATTATACATTTTCATTCAGATTTCGTACTTGAATATTTGTTGGAGATCCTTTAATTCATGATCGATTAAACTTACTGGGTGATTCACATTAGGCTTACATCAAGTGTTTCTGCACCTCTATGCATTGGCAAAGACCAATCCTTATTTACATTAGTCATATTGTTTTTCATTTGTTTACTATTGTTTACTATGCTGCCTAAATATGTTGCTCTTGCACATTAATTGATTTCCACATAGCAAAGTGACATTTACACACTCCTGAAGGTATTTATCAGGCTTATATGGGCTGAGCTGGGTCGCCACAATAAGTGTTACGAGTTGTTTCGGGCTCCCGCAAATGTCTCTCGTATGGAGATGTGTTTACAAACTCGAGTGTTTTGAAAATACGCTCCTTGGGAGAAATGAGAAAGTAGCTTGTTTTACGATATAAACAAACCCTTTACAATATCGTAAAGTGTTAGTAAATCTGGCCCCTGATAGAGAAATGGTGTTAAAAAACTGCAGTATTGAAGTATAACTTTCAGTCACTATTAATAATCAATAATTGAAGTACCAGCCTCAGTACTTGAGGAATAGGAGTGGTGCAGTGTCTGCACACCACAGCTACAGCCACAGTTCCCAAAGGAGTGGCAGGTCCAACTCCTATCTGCGACAGCCTTCAGTCATTGTCCAGCATTCCCAGGTACTCGTTCTTATTTTGATAAGCCTGAGGCATGCGCGAAAAAGCTCACTCACAAGCAAATATTGCATTGTTGCCATCTGAATGCTGGATATGACATTTCAATGGATAAAAAAAATGCATGCAAAATCCAATCAAAAATGGAAACTGGATACAATTTCTATGTGTGTGTAAAGCTGGTGTTTCACTAACATTTTGTGCCTGGAACTAGATTCCGGTTAAAGATTCTCACTCTTGCTCAGGCCTATGCAAACTACTTTGGGAACTAAGGAGCCCGATTTAGAGAGAGGTCTTTGCCCAGATCATGCTAGAGTTTTTTGTATTATTATTATTATTATTTTTTTTTTAATTCTTTTTTCTTTTTCTTTTCTTTTTTTATTATTATTATTATTATATTATTATTATTATTATTATATATTTTTCTTTTGCTGATTAGCTTATTTTGTTTTTAAATATTATGATGCAGCTTTGACTTCATAGAAGTCTTGGCTTGTCTGGGCTCGTCTATGCAGCATCCAGTCTCAGGAAAGAGTTGAAAATCCAAACATGCAAGCATAGATATTAAGTGTCAGGTGATTAGAATTAAAAAAAAGGGGGGGGAGGGATGACTTGGCAAATTGTGGCCAGGTGAGTTGGCAGTCTTTCCTTTCCTGATATTGTGTGCACAATACCTCAAGGAAATGTATTTGTACTGCAGCCAAAGCGGGAGGCTGGGCAGCTGAAGATACCTCAGGGTTGAAGCTTAAAGGATTGACGTTCTCCAATGCTTACTGTAAATTTGAGAGACAAGTCTGTGCTTAAACACATCAAATGCAAACCTCAGGAAATATAGAAAAACTGGCAGCTCGCCCCAGACTCTGGGGGGTCTAATTTGGCAAGATTGGTTTTATTTTATTTATTTATTTTTTTATTATTATTATTTATTATTATTATTATTATTATTATTATTATTATTATTATTATTTTTTTTTTTTTTTTTTTTTTTTTTTATTATTTATTTTTTTTTTTTTTAAGAAATTGGAAGAGGTGGCATCAAGAGTAGCAAAGTTCAAGGAAAACAATAAGAAACATTGTGTATCAGTCATAGATAATCCAAACCATATGTAAACAAATCAGATATTCCAGAGTCAAGGATGAATGACAGTTTTTCCTTTCCTGAGATAAAAACGCTATAATAACAAAAATTGATGCACCATACTCTTGCAACTGGCTTGGGAAATTCCAGGACAGGGTGAAAATTTATAGCACTTTCTGTGTGTAAGTCATAACTGTTCTGTAGCTACCACTGCCTCTGAAGGAAAGAGATTACCTAAACTCATTTTCAGTGGATTAATGGATTTAGTAAACTTTTGATCTGTAAATTATGACTGCATTGGCCAGTGTTATACTGTTCAAACATTGCTGTCTCTCAACCCAGTGTGCTAGGATGGCATTACATACTTGGAATGTCTGCTGTGATTTTCATTTAGTAATTGTGTTTACAAATAGATGGTTCCACAACTCTTCAGTGTTTCAATGACTAGTCCTTCCTATCTCACCTGTTCATCCTTTTCCTTGATTTTTGGAAAGATTCTCTTTTAATTCCATATTGCTGTCAGTATTCTAATAACATTAATGATCATGATATCAATAATAATTATAATATCAATAATGATAACAGGTTTAATATTAATAGCATAAATAAATTACAAAAAAAAAAAAAATCAAGAAATAGGGAAATCTTGGGAGGTCATTTATTGACTCCTTGGTAGCTGAGCATTTGTGGAGCCATCTGTATACAACAGAATTTACAAAGAACTACCATGGACAATACATGTACCCATGGCCAAAGTGTATGACTGTCGTTATTCATGCTATTACTCTCTGTACTATTACAGCTTCCATTTGATGTAAGCGAGTCTGTTCAGCAGTACCCAGATATGTACCGGTTAGTCATGAGGACAATGGCCCTAGCTAAGGTCATCAACCGGTTTCTCAAGATGATGTACAATGATGACTCATTCATGTCAGCAGACCTGTTTGATCCAAGTGAGTATGTTCTGTGTTTAGATGAAATATCTGTCATGTTATTGGTGATGGTCATTGTTAGATATGGTAAAAGATAGACAGAATTGATATAGTATATATATATATATATATATATATATATATATATATATATATATATATATATATATATATATATATATATATATATATATATATATATATATATATATATATACAGTGCATGTCAGAAATCTTTGCATGAGAGGGACCGCGCCAAGATTTTTGACGTCTTTCGGTAATACCCCTCTAATATCCTGCAAATCGACCTATAATTTTGGTAACCCATTAGCTGATAAATTACTCATCTGACTCCACATTGGCTGTTTCAGATATCACTCAATTACCTCTGGGCAGTGACAGTGAACAGAATTGCTCACTGTCACAAGAATTATTGTAGGGAAAGAGAAGATGGTGATAAAATCCTCATCAGCAGTATAATTGATTTCTTGTCATTGCATCTTGTGATTTCTTATTATTGTCATAAATTTGTGATTGGTGATTAGGTCCAAAGACACAGATAATCAGATACATAAATGCTTATGATGAAAAATTTAAATGTCAAGTATTGTATTCAACTAAGTGTATTAGCACATATTTGTGTGGCAGTCAGTTTACTCTGTTGTAGGATAACAGAGGTGAGTTCAAAGGCATTGCATTTTAAATGTATATTCATTTTAGAGGTCGACAATTACTGCAATGCTTTGTGGGATTTTGCGTAATGGCTTCTGGCATTCGACAACAATTCCCATTCTTTAATTTTTCCTCTTCTTACAGAACCAAGAAGAACAAGGAGGTTCTTCTCGCTGATGATGGAGTTTTACTATGCTGCAAATGAAAGTACAGAGCAAATGAATGCTATTGAAGAGCAGGTATGTGTCCATTGGCAGTTTTCTCAGGTACTTTCACTATAACTGAGTGATAAACATTAACAACTTGAGATTTTGCCAAGATATGCTGTTAATTGTTGATAATAGATATTATTTGTTATATTTATTGGCTTAGATTAATGCTTGATATTTACCCCTAGGTGGAAATTAAACGTGAAGCACGGGAAAAGCAAAAAGAAAACATTGAGAAGAACATTGCCAAGCTGAGGCAACTCAAAATGGAGAATGCAGAGAATCAGATTCGTGAAGAGCAGGTCTGCTGCTGTTGTTGTTGTTGTTGTTTTTATGTTCTTTCATATTATTACAGTTCTTTCTTTCTTTCTTTCTTTCTTTCTTTCTTCTTTCCTTCTCTTCTTCTTCTTCTTCTTCTTCTTCTTCTTCTTCTTCTTCTTCTTCTTCTTGTTCTTCTTTCATATTATTACAGTTTTTTATTATTATTATTAGTATTAGTATTATTATTACTATACTTATAATGCTTATTAAAATTGGTTACGTAGAACAAAATCGATTTTTGGTTGTATTTTATAGGAATCTTTGTTTATGAAGGGATTCCATTGCAGGAGTTGAAACGCATTGCAGAAGTGAAGGAGGATTTGCAGAAACAGCAAGACGTAAAGCTTAACCTGAAATCTCAGCTTGATGAAGTAAAGATGATCATTGCAACCTTAGTTACAACCATGAAAGATGTTGAACTGGAGATAATTGAGGTATGTAAAGATACTTTATATATATGAATATTTCTTTTCTTTTCCTTTCATTTCTTTTTCACTTACTTGCATCAGTTATTTTATTCTCTTTTTTTATGTTGAATTGTATTAGTTATATAAAATATATTAGTTATATATTTTATATCTTGAGATTTTTTTTTTCTATGAAGCCATTTATTGCTTTAAAAGTAATGGTGAAAGTAAAGCTTTTTAGATTTCCTAAATTCACTTCTGACCATTTTTATTTGTGTTATGAAATTCGAAACATGAATATACAATTGATTCTGTATTCTAACTTACATCTTGTAGGGGAAAGAGAGGATTGAGAAACTAGCTGGCCAAGTTGTGCAGGCCAGTGAGCGGCAGGAAATAGAAGAAAGGGAACGCAAGTTGGCCATTTACAAGAATAATAATGAGAGCAGGTCACGCCGTTTGGCTGAGTTAAAGCAGTCACTACAGACATTCCCTTCTGTTTATGACTTGGTGAAGGAACAACTGCTAGGAGTTATGCAGGAGATCCAGCAAGGAGTGGCCAAGCAAAAGTAAGTTTGATTTTTCCTTTTCTCCTGGCCTGTTTCCTCTGCAAAGTTAATTATAGCAGAGAATGTGATATTCAAATTTGAATATAATGTGGGTAGTGATGAGAGGGGTGCGTGCATTCGTTTTATGTGTATGTGTTTGTCCTGTAAATGTGTTAGTAAGCTGTATGTGTATTTTTACAGGGAATGTCTAGCAGAACTGAGTCAGAAAGACCGTTCTAAAGGCTTAGTACTGGAAGAAACTGAAGACATTGCCATGAAAATTCAACAGCTGATGGAACAGTTAGCATCCAAGCAAGAGAAGATTTCACAGCTGCACTTGTCATGGAAACTGAAGAAGGAGAGCCTCCAACATGAAGTTAACCAGCGCAAGTCGTAAGTACATGTGGCAAAACTACAAAGGAGCATTTATATAAACTTTATGTAGTTTGATAATACTTTCTTTGGGTGCGATTGTACTTTATTTCACATTTTCTTACTGGGTGTTCTCCATTGCATGTAACAGGACCTTAGAGGAGTTTCGGCGCAATCAGACAGAGGATGAGATTGTTCTCCAGGACTTGGAGGCCGAGCATGCAAGGATGAGCCATGAGACTCAGCAACTAAAGGAACAGGTTGCTGATTTCAACCATTTTATTGCATCAAATTACCAGAATATTTTGCAAGCTGTAAGTACTTTTATAATTTATTCCCTTTTCACTCATTGATATTGAATAAGTATCAGTGATTGATTAGTGTGCTGGTGTGCCATGTATGGATAAGATCTTAAGAGTTAGCATTTGCAGTCTTTTAATATTTCTATTTATTCTTTTCCACAGATGGAGAAACACAACAGTGAGTTGCAGACAGTCCTGACTGACTTGACTGAGACAATTTACCAAGCCAAGGGAAATAACTTACATGAAACTCTTCCTTCTCTGCAAATGAATAAATGCTAAGTTGTACTGACAAAATGACTGAAAAATACCACAGTACACAAAATAAGTTTTGAAAGATGAGAAGGCAGTTTCAGAAGTCTCATGAATTTCATCTTCTGAGCTAAACCAGTCGAGGAAGTCCATTGGGATTTTGAAACTTGTCTCAATCTTTTAATCAGATTTATTTTGTGAATAATGGTCTTTTTCTCTGCTGTTCCTTCTCTGTGCTGTCTGATACTCTATTCATATTTACATTTAAAACCATACGTAAGCATTTTGTATCTGATTTTGAGGTAATTAGTCCCACATTATATTTTTATTTTTTCATCCCCTAATCCTTTAAACCCTGTGTGTATGCACAAGATAAACTTTCTTACTATGTACATAAATATTCTCTTTTCTTCAATTTACTCATATTTACCATAGTGACTATGAATGAAGGATTCCTTTCTGTGTATATACTGTACTTATGAATAAAGAATAGTATATTTCCTGAAGGCTGATTAACCAGATGAGTGATTAATTAATTGCACAGTTGTACACTTCTTGACATGGGAAATAGTATATGCATAAATGGTAGGTATTAAACAAAATGCAAGTTGAAATTCCCTCTGTCCATCCTCTCTTTATAAACATACATACAATTTTGGGTTACTTGTAAGAAAACCATATGCAAATGGAATATTTACCATGGAGCACATATTTTACAAGCACACCATACACATTTATTAACATACATATGAAAATGTTGACATTTATAGAGCTATATATGTGTGTCGTGTTTTGCGTCTGTTTCTGTGCCTATACATAGAATACTTTATTTTCTAATGTGCACAGCTTTATTGAAATTTATCTACATACCTTGTGTACAAGAATATATCATAAATCTCATTAAAACACATGCAAAATATTGTCCAATTTCCCGTCCTGTTGTTGATCAGCTTTTAACTCCGACAAAGTGCTTACAGTCTTCCCTCTGCACTTTTTCATGTTGCTGCCCTTTGTGAGAGAAAATACTCCCAGTGGCTGTGTGCTTTTCTTGGCATTTCATTTTTGATTGTCATGAATGTGATGCTTCCTTTACACTTGTGATTTGATTTAAGCATCTGAACAAAACCCGTTAGTAACCGAATGTATTGCTTTTTCTTGTGCAGTATACTAATAAACGTGGGTGCGTGTGCGTGTGTGTGTGTGCGTGCGTGCATACAAAGTTTAATCAAGACCTAATTTAGTTCTAATGAAAGTATGGTGTAGTTACGGCAAGGCTTTTTTTCTTTCATATGCTGAAGGGGATGAATATATAGAACCTAAATTCATCTGCATGGCTGATGGAATAGGTGTTTAATAGTCCACTTATTATGCTTCATTATAAAACAGAACATATGCCTACACTTTGACAATTTTCAACTGACTTGATCCAGTTGGCAAAAATATATGGATGAAACATTAAACATGTTATTTGCTATAAGTTGTTTTACTTTATCTTTTACCATATCATTAAACAAGCTTCTTAGCTTGACCAGCCAGTATGCAAAATATGAAGCTCATATAAATAATGAATGAAAATTTAAGAAAGGAAACATTGAAATATACATAAAAATGTAAATGATAATGTCTAACATGTTCCAACTTCTCCAGTCATCCATTTTTACGCTAACTAGCAGTGGTTAATTATCAGTTGTCTTGTTACTATTATTATTATTATTATCTTTATTATTTTTATTATCATTATCGGTCTAATCATTATTATCATTGTTTGTTATTTTTTATTATAACCTACTATTATCGTTACATTATTATTACTATTACTATTACTGTTTTTATTATTTTGGCTAATGTCAACATTATTATCAATATTGTTATTATTATCATGGCATTATCATTATTACTACTGTTTTTATTATCATTATTAGTAGTATTGGCAATAGTAGCTGCAGTATTTTTACTATTATTACAACTATCAGTAGTACTATCACATGCTTTTATTATCAATCTCCTTATTATTTTTATTATGATTCTTACCAATCCTCTTTACTATTATTGTTATCAACAACAGCAGCTCATACATCATAGCAGTATTTGTAAAATGTATCATATTGATTGAAAATTATAATGCTAAAACAGGTGACAAAACAGAAAAGAAAATCCTAAGGGTATGATTATAACAATGATAAAAATCAGTGATGGTAATGATAATGATATTGGAAATAGAAAAAACAGTGACCATAAACACAAAGATACAAATAATAGGAAATATGGAGATGTGATAAAAAAAAATAATGATCACAAGAAAAATAAAACTTGCAAGGCCGATCTCTCAAACCAATGGCAGTTTCAGCAATGTATTGAATACAGTGAAGATGACAATAAAGTTGATGAGGTCCACGCCATTGCCCAATGACCCCCAGCACTTCCATCAGGAAGGCAACAAACGACAGTAAACAAAAAAAAATGAATATAAGGATGAGAATGTTAACTAACAGTACTTGACAAACGGATACAGGTTTACTAGTGTAGGTCTCTTGGTACCAGCAAGGGAGTGATGGAGAATAGTAAGAATAGTCATTATTGTCATTACTATAATTGGTATTGATATCATCATTACTATTAATGTTGATATCGGTATTGGTGTTAGTATCATCATTATTATTTTTACTGTTATTGTTATAATATTATCATTATCATCATCATGATAAAGATAACAATAATGATAAATAATAATAATAATAATAATAATAATAATAACTACAATGATGATAATGATGAAAATAATAATAATGGTACCAATGGTAATATTGATAACAATAATTATAATAACAATAAAGATAGTAGTAAAAATAATGATAGTAATAGTATTACTAGATTATAATGATAATAATCTTAACAGTAGTGATTCTAAACCTCTACACAAGATCACAAGAAGTCCTCACCAATAAAAATGGAAAAGAAAAGACATACCTGAAGTTGTGATCAAGTGCAACCATCACTGCTAGGTAGTAAATATTATGTGAGAATTGCAATGAAAAATGAGGATAAACAACAGTAGTAATAAAACAATACTGCATAAACCAAGAAATCTTCTGTGATCAAGAATATCTCTCCACAAACCCTTGATTAGTAATGGTATAAATGATAATCTCTTTTTATAAAGGTTACATTGCCATAATAATAATAATAATAATTATAATAATAATAATAATGATGATAGTAGCAACAATTATCATAAATCATAATGATTTAATATTAATGATAGTACTACCACTATTATTGATGAGGATGAGGATGAGGATGAGGATGATGGTGATGGTGATGATATGATATGTATAATGGATAATAATAATAGTAATGATAATAATAATGATAATGATAATGATAATGATAATGATAATGATAATGATAATAATGATGATAATAATAGTAATGGTAATATTGATAATAATAATAACAATAATAATCTTAACAGTAGTAATTCTAATAATCAACACAAGACCACAAGAAGTCCTCAACCCAAAATATAGAAAAGAAAGACCTGAGGTGATCGAATTCAACCATCACTGAAGAGTAAATGTATGAGAATTGCACTAAAATATAATAAACCTAAAAGTTAGGCTAAAACAATACTATTTAGCTTTGGAATCTCTTAAGGACATGCGTGTCTCCCTACCCCTTAAATAGTAATAATATAATTATCTCTTTATCTCTTTTACCATCACTTTTTCCAATGAAATCAATCCGTGTTATCTATTCTATACGCAAATAATACCCAAGGTCGACACCGGAGTGCAACCGCCCTCGCCGAACCCCAGGACCACAACAAAAATAGGAAAGAGCGGCGTGAGATCTTCGCTCCCTAGCTCCGTCCTCTGTGAAGTGTGGGTGTTATTTTTGGGGAGAATTAGTGGGGGATTTGGTTATCTGGTGTTGGAGGTGAGACTTTGGGTTTTCTGGCTGTGTGAAGGGAATTGTTAATAGGTTTTGGGGGATGTGATTTTTTGTGTTTGTTAAAATATTACGGGGCAGCATCCATATAGATAGATCTAGCATTTAACATGGTCATTTTTTTGTAATCGTGACGATTTTGGTAATCGTTGTATTCTTCTCACTGTCTAGTTTCCAAATATGCAGAATTTTTTACACGGAAACCCTCCAACCCCCGTATTCTTGGCCCCGAGAGCAAGGGAGGGCATGAAAGCTACCAGGGAAATTGTGGGATAAAATGTAAATAGTAAACACAGAATCAGTCATTATATTGCCTAATGCAGGAGCTCAGCCTCCTGCTAACCCCACAAACCCTGCCCAGATAAACAAAGAATCCTTCAAGTATTCACGGCAGGAGAGAGTGTTGGACAGACGTGGCCATTGTGTACTCTCTCCTGCTATGAATGTGTGCAGGATCCTTTATTTTTCAGGGTGGGGGTTGGGGGTCGCAGAGGGCACATTAAACAATAGAGTGACTAATTCTTGGTATATTATTTACCTTTTACCCCAATTTTACCTGGTAGCTTTCATGCCCTCCCCTGTTATTAGGGTCAAGAATGTGGGGGTTGGGGGGCTTTGCACAATAAAACCTTCATATTTGTACTATAAATATTAGAGGAATCCAATGATACCTGAATCATGGTGATCTGATATGTTGATGTATTAGAAAAAATTACCAGAGATTTACCAAAGGGTGATGGAGTGTTAATATCCATCATTTGATTTTAAAAAACTCCAAAAAGTAACTCTTTACACAGTAAATCATTTGAAAACACTGACAAAGGCACTCATGTAGCTTATCTGATCTACAGTGTATATCCTATGATGTACAATACACCCTTGTAATGGTGCAACATCAAGTCAAGCTTTATGGTTGATGCTATTGGTATATCACCTGTGAAAACCCGCAATCCTAAAGCACGTAAATTTTGGAAAGATAAAGCTGGATTGCTTGATCAGTTGACAATGTTGTTCCAGGAAGGTCTGCAAGTTCCATCTTACCAGAGATCTTGTGGCAAAGATTAGTTGGCCTTTGCCTTAACACTAGTTAATGCAAGGCTGGTGTCATAAACTCCAAACATTTACCTTTTTCATGTGTTGCATATTTTCATATATATGATTGTATCTTTTTGGCTTTGTTTCTGATGAAGCCAAGGACACTTCTCTTCTCTGACATAGTTCTTTCAAAATAACATTTAAAGAGTTTTGGTAATTTGTGAAATAAACAGGCCTAGATGTATATGGCAAATAAAGTAAATAAATCTTAGAGTCAAATATAATTTTTATGTGTGTGTGAGGGGTGGGGGTATTTTGACAGAGTAGGAAGCATGGACGCCAGAAAAAAGTTATTTTTACTAAATTAAAAAAACATATATGTAAGATATTTTTTGTTTTTGTTTTTCATTACTCTGTGAAGCTGAGAGAACTGAATGCATTAGTGCTGGCTACATGCAGTATCCTCAGTAGTTTTGTCACTATTGTTTACACACAGATGGTTTTGCAATCATTTAGTTACCAAGGAGTTAATGAGCTTACTTGATCTCAATTGTGTATCCCATTCCTTTAATATTCAGAAAAAAAGGTTTATTTCTGATGCTGTTATTATTGTTAACATTGTTATTAAGTACTACTAACATTATTGCTCTTGTAATATTAACTGTAATCATAGTAACAAAAATTCAAGCTTTTCTTCACAAGGAAGGGATAAACATCGGTAGGCCTAGTAATTGGCTACTTGGTGACCGAGTGCTTCTGGAGCTATCTATGTGGAAACAAAATTAGTACACTAATATCACAGTGAAGGTGTTCATAGCATCGATTGGTTACTTTATTTTATGTAGTGTCCTTGGTAGTTTTTCGTTTATTTGTTGCACACAGGTGGCTCCAAAAGTGCTCAGCCACCAAGGACAACATTATTAGAAACTAGTGGCGCCTAGTTTCCCTGTTCCTTGAATGTGTGAAAATTTTGTTTTCTAATACTCTTGATAATGACATTTTTATAATTGACATAGGATTATTATAATGTTATTAAGATACTTATAATAACAAAAAATAAAGAGAGTCCTCCCAAAATCAAGGAAAATTGTAAACGAATGAGATAGAAGGACAATAATTAACTCTTTGGTGAAAAGTACCTGCAGAGACATCTATGTATAAACACAATTAATAAATTAAAATACAGTGGACAGGCCATACAAATCGTGCCACCCACAATTAATAAGCAGTTGAAGGCTGACAGTTACAGTTCTTACCTATTACATTTATTGTGTTTAAACTTTCTAAGTGTGCTCTAGAATTGTATTGTGGCCAGAACAAACTAAGTACATATATATATGTCTGCATGGCATTTGATACATTAATACTTATGTAAGAATATGAATAATTTTTTACCATTTTTAATTTTTCAGAAAGCACAAAAATGAATCGTCGAATATCAACTGCTCTGTCAGACTTAGTCTTAGCTTTGTCTGCCTTATGGGGTTTCCGGATGCTGAGTGATAATCGCACAGCAGACTTCCAGTTTGGGAAATGGTGGTTTATGCTGATGACCATCGCAGCTTCCCTTGGTGTTGCCCGATTCGGAGCATGTAAGAATGTGTCTTATTGGAGTGGCATGTATAGGTATTGCAAAAAAGGGCAAATGATTATTAACATACTTCATCATATATTCCACTAGTGTATATATATATATATATATATATTATATATATATTATATATATATAATATATATATATATATATGTACAATGAATGCACTTTATTAATTTTATATTTCTTTATTTCAGTATTGCCTAATTATCAAGCAGGCATTGTGAAATATCACATAATCTTTTCATGGTTGTGCCGAGCTATAGGTGTTCCATGCCTTGCAGCAGAGGTTTGCAAATACTATACATTTACTACAGCTGGACAGGTATGCAAAAAGGCAAAAAGTACTAAAGGATTATATAAAGGTCCTTTGTAAAACAGGTTTAGGTGATAGGACATAGGCTAATTTTTCTTCTTCTTGTCTTGTCTTGTCTTGTCTTGTCTTGTCTTGTCTTGTCTTGTCTTGTCTTGTCTTGTCTTGTCTTGTCTTGTCTTGTCTTGTCTTGTCTTGTCTTGTCTTGTCTTGTCTTGTCTTGTCTTGTCTTGTCTTGTCTTGTCTTTCTTTCTTTCTTTCTTTCCTTGCTTCTTTCTTTCCTTCTTTCCCTCTTTCTTTCTTTCTTCAAAAATGTTATTTATATGCTTTCATTTTTCCAGGGCAAGTGAAAATAGACAGATGTTTTTGTTTTTTCCTAAAAAGAGTGTCCTTTTCTTAACACAAAATGATTCGTACTTATTGGATACATATAGAAAATATATTAAACAGTTTGCTTTTTTCTTTCTCTCTCCTTAAAACTGATTAAATGGGGTTAATGGGGTTAATTGTATTTACACATCCATGACTCCGTAAGTGCTTGGTAACCAATTAGCCAATCACTAGTCTGACCTATCACCTATTTAATCATTTCCTTGATCTTTAGAAATATTGTATTTTACATTGTTATTAGTATTGTTAATAATACTGCAATAATTATGTCAGTAAAAATTATAAGTAACTTTGATAATAGCGTTGGGGCGGGGGATCACGAAAACTTAACGAAGAGGGAAGTCGGATGAGTGCACACTGACTGCTAATCAACTCCCTAGTGGCTTGCTAATTAACTCCGTAGTGGCCGAGGACTTGTGAAGTTTGGGTGTAGATACTTTTCACACAACAACACGCCTGTGAACATCACATTTTCACAGCAGCATTGGGTTAGTTGTACATCAATTCATAAATGTTTGATACCAAAACATTTCATTTATTTTCAGGGCTTTTTGATAAGTGCTGTTGCGACATTCATAACATCTTCACTTAGAAGTCACTACAAGGAAAAAGTTACAGATTTGATAAATGGATTATCTGTTATCATGATTTTAGTGCTGGGTATAACAGGTGAGTAATAGCATATTTTCTGTTTATTTTATTTTGAAAAAGGTATTTTTCTCTTATACTAAAAATTAGAAAAATGATGAAATAAATACATATATCAGGGCAGTGATTTGAATATAGATAACAGCCTGTCTCAAGAATTATTACTTATGATATTCATACTGTTTCTCATTCAGTAAGGACTGTATAAATAAAATTAAGTATAATACATAAGAAAGTCATAAAATTGAGAGAATACAAATTATCACACGCTTTATTTTTAAGGTAAATCAAACTAATTTTCTCCTTATTGTCTATTCACAGGTGGTAATGCGTATCTCATTATAACTAGCGTACTGTTTATGTTGTCGGGTATAGTGGGTGTTGATGGTGATATCGAGTCCCTTAAGTTGCCTCGAGTAGATGTCTTCCACTACGTACTTGTTGGCATTAATTGTTTTGTTGTATGGGGATTCGAAAACTAAATTTATTTTGTTACAAATCCCTAGGTAATATAATATTGTGATTTTCAAGACCTATTTAAAAGTTGTATGAAACTTTCTTACTTTTTTCACATTGTCTAGTCACAAATTTCATCGTTAGCTTTTAATGGAATTCCAAAAGAAAAACAGGACCAAGTAGTCTTTACATTGCAGCTTCATTGCAAATAACATTACAAGCTCATATTTACCAGTTATTGATATTATTTTATACTATTATTATTATTGTTATTATTTTTTAGAACCATTAGTATCAAACATGCTGTATATACGTGCAAGATTATGTTGGCATTTATCAAGGAATTAGGGTAATAATTCAAACGAGGGAATTTTTCCTTAATTGATTGAAAATCTCAAAGCAGTCATTTATTGAATTATTATTTTTTAGTTCTAGAAACAGTCATAGGACATTAGTACAGAATTTTTTTCATCTGTGTTGATTAAGGAAATACTAGTTGACTAGACTTCATGTGTTGATGATTAAGAGAAAATTTAGATATAAAGTGAATCAATATTTTGTGAGGGAAAATCACATTTTATGTAATTAACAAATAACTTAGTTTAGACACAGAATGTACTATACTTGCTGATGCCGGGAGGGCATATATACATACCCTGTCCACAGTCATTTTAGTTTATTAGTTATTAGTCACTGAGGAGCCACTTACTTCACTCACCTCTTTACTCGACTCCTTGAATTTTTATTTTTATTTATATCTTTGTTATTAGTATTTCTTATTCAAGGCTAAATAGGTGAGATCAGGTAGGCCTAGCAGTTAACTCCTTGGAGAATAGGCATTTGTGAATCCACCTGTGTGAACAAGATAGGCTAAATAGAACTACAGAGGACATAGCTAAAATAACAGAAAAGAATATTTAGATGAGATTTTTGTCTTCTAAATTGCCTTGATAACTGTCTAACCATTTAATAATTTTGTGGTCATAACTTTTGAATGTTGAAAGTTTGTTATCTGTTAATTGTTAAGGTTGATGTACAATCTCTTGATATGAATACTGTTTGGAGAATTTTATGTAGACCCAAACAAATAAAACATAAATATTATGTTTGGATTTTTGTAGCCTGTATTTCTATTACGGAGATAGAAAATAGAAACCAAGGAGTCTAAAAATCAGTGTCAAATTTAGAAACTGTTTTCCAGTATCTTTCATTTAGGAAATCATTTCCAATAAATATAACAGCAGGTCCTTTATAGGCAAGAAGTGCAACCCATTGTAGGTTCAATCTCGTTTGTTAAAGAGAAGGTGAACCAATAGTTATTTACTCCCATGATAATTTAATCATGTATGGATAACAAGCTATAATTAACTGTATAAACAGACATAATTCAAAGGCTCCCCATGATAAATGTGAACAAAGTAAATCTTGGGAGAAAGTTTATAAAGCCATAAATTTAATTTCAGTCTATCATGAAGGATATGAGTACATCTTAAAAGTCCTGAATTCTTATGATCCTTGGGGCCTTTTGCCTAAGATGCATGAAAAAGGAGTTCAATTAGCTAATATATTAATAGAGATTAAGGAGAAGAAAAAGACCTGTGCTAACAATAAAAAAAAAAAAAATGAGTACTCTCTTTGGCCCAGCCAAGTGGAATCAATTCTTTGTGATTCCCTCCACAGCCCCTTACTCTGAAAATACCTGTCTATTTCAACAATATCTCCTAAAACAAGTAGGCAAATTTTCCTCTCACAGTCACTCTGATTGTTCATGCCTTGTCACAGTTACATCTGAATCCCAAAGTTGTACACTATCTACTCTTACTGATCTCATTGGCAAACCCATTCCTGCCAAACTTCACCCTTCTCTTAATACTTGTACTGGAACTGTTTTTATCTCCCCAACTACTTGTCCTATCTACGACAAGAGCTGGTCAAACTGTGAAAATTATTTGCTTGCCTGCCTTGTTGATTATGATGCAGTGGCAGTACAGTGCTACACTATTCCTCCCAGAGGCCAGTGTAAGTCCCATGCCAATATTGCCAAGATTAGCTTCCGTAGACATGCTTCCCCGGTGAATTTTATATTGATGGTGTCCTACCATGTCTGACCATATCGACCCCTTCCCTGTCAGTGTCAGAAATGTTGGCATTTTGGCTATCCAGCCAAACACTGGTGCTCCACAGCCCACTACCTGTAAGCTTGAATATGAGGTAGCGGTTCTCAGATTCAAGCCAGACAGGAAACATGGAGATGAGGCTTTTCTCTCTACTTATTCTAAGACTGTTCATCACTCTGTTCCTTTCCCATCTTCTCAAGATGTCTCAGCATCTCCCCCAGTATCTCTTCCTTATACCTTGAGCCATCCTACCTCTAATCCACCTCCCCTTCAAATTCCTTTTCCCGTCTAAATCCAGATACTCCAATCTCTACAACTTCCCTGATACCTCCCCCAGATCCCTTGCCCGTTGTTGTGGGGGGGGCTTAGGATACAGAGGCTGAGGCCCATTGCAGGGAATCTCCCCTGCCTTGGACCTCAGCCCTTGCCTCAACTAATTTTGCATGGTCTTTTCTTCTTCTCCTTTTTTCCCTCTTATCCAATTCCAAAGGTGTGAGAGCGGTGTTGAAAGGATGAAAAACTGACCTTATGCCAGTCATGAATGGGCTCAGGAAGCCATGGGCACAGTATTCCTTGGTAAATCATTTAGCCTTTTTACCTTCCCTACACATGTCAGGCTTACCAAGGCCAGGAATGATGAAGGCCTACCAAGGCCAGGAATGAAGATTTTGTACCCTTATTAGGGGCACTGAGGCTTACTCCTTTATCAACTAGCCTCTCGAAATTACTCCTTCGGTTTACCGACCTCTGACTTCCCTGTGGTCATGGATCCAACCACCATTAGTACACCTCCCTCCTCTACACATGCTGTCAACTTGACCCATTCCAAAACCTCTACCCAGATGTATGCCCTGACGAAGCAGTAGCGAAAAGGCCTTCGGTATATTTGTGTGTTTTCTTGCCCTTCCCTTCGTTGTTCCTGTTGCAACACATCTCATCCTCACTCCCAACATCTTCCAGACCACCTCCTGAACAATCATCTTCACATTCTACCTCCTCCTCCCTTATTACAACTCTTCAACCTTATTGCCCATACCCCCACAATACAACCTCACTTCACACCACTCCCTCCTCCTGTCCTCATCTCTCTACGATCCCCACTTCTTCAAATCTATTGATTAATCTCATTAGTCAGCTCATTGGGACCGATTTTTTTTGTATTTCCCCCAACAGCCCCTTACTCCAATAATAACCTACTCCAGGGGTCGGCAACCTTTTGAACATAGTCCCCCCCAATCCCTTGCCTGTTGTTGTCGTGGGGGGCTTAGGAGACGGAGACTGAGACTCAATGCAGGGATCCCCCTGCCTAGGGCCTCAGCCCTCGGCTCAACCAATTTTGCATGACCTTTTCTCCCTCCAGCTTTCTGTTTCCATCCCTTCTCCAACCCCTTCTACTATTTACTTCCTAAGGTGTAAGAGCTGTGCTGAAAGGATGAAAGGCTGACCTTGTGGCAGTCCTGAACAGCCTGCAGGAACCATGGGCACAGTATTCCCCTGATTTAGTTGTATAGCCCTTACCCCCTTAAGGGGCACTGAGGGGTGGACTATTTATTTCCCCTACATAATCAAGGCTTCCTATGGCCAGTAATGAAGTAATACCCATATTAGAGGCAATGAGGCTTGCCCCTTCATCAAATAGCCCCACCAATTCAGAGTCTGCCGGCTCCCCGACCCTAGGCTCTCCTTTAATCACGACTCTGAATACTGAAACTACTACCCACTCCTCAATGCCTATTAGTGCATTACCCACCCAAGACGAGACTCAGAAGACATTCCTATTCTACCAACTTCCTCAACTTCATCATCTCTACCCTTACAACCTTCTTCATCAAACACCCCAACCTCCCTTATTACTACCTTACAGACACTCCAATCTCAACTACAGCCCCAACACCATCCCCTCTCCCTCCCCACACTACCCGCAGCAGACAGACTAAACGTTCCACCCCTTCTTCCCCTGCTGCACACTCACCTTCACCTACCTTTACCTTCATTCCTCAGACACCAGTCTCCTCTTCCCCCCCTCATAAGAGAACCTTTGTCTCACAAAACTCGCCAACCAACTCCACTGCAGAAACTATGGAAGATATCCAAAACTATATGCTTGAGACACAAAATTCCACACCTCATGCTCCCTCCATACTCGAAGTGACTGCCGATATCCATTCCCCTCCTGCTCATATTCCCCCTACACCCCTCCCTCCTACTCCCTCTCAACACAACCTAACCCCCTCAATTCCGCCTACTACCGATATCCATCCTCTTCCTACTCCCTCCCAACACAACCCATCCCCCTCAACTCCAACTAATGCCGATATCCAACCTCCCGACACCCATCCTCCTCCTACTCGTACTACCCCTACATCACTTCCACCTACTCCCTCCCGACACAACCCACCCCCTCGACTCCAACTATACGTATATTCTCCCTCCCTCCATCCCCTCTGTCATTTCCACTCCCTCCTGGATCCACACGTGGAACACTTATGTAAATCCTTTACCTAGACCCACCATAGACCATTGACACAGCAACAACTTTACACATTTCTAACCTTTCAAGATCAGTCTAGATGGTTGACGAATAGCAACTATACCCTTCACCCCTCCTTTAATATTCTTTCCTATAGTGCTTTATGACCTTAAATGTCTAGCACATTTATTTTTGCTTTTAACTATTAATACAGGGTGCAGAATCGCATGTATGCGTTCTGCACGTTATATGGGTTGCCTATTTGCACAATATGTTCGGACTAAAATACGCACAGAATAAAATACGTGAGCTACTTTCCCCGAATGATTATTTGAGTAACGATAAAAAGATAGTAAGAATTGCCTGTCGCTCTTTTTCGCAAAGTATGTCGCTTTGCAAGACCTAGTTCTGTGCAGATACAGAAACATATGCCACATGCGTGAAAAGATATTGTACCTTTTGAGAGTTTGAGGTAAGTAAATATGGAGGGGGAGAAGGCAACGGGACTGACTGTTGCCATACACGTGATTTTCATTTTCGTGTTTAACTCACTAGGGCAGTTGTAGAGATTACCTAAGCCGTGGTAAGATCCGGGAGTGTTAACGATTTCTCCGAAGCGGTAAGTAAAGTATATAATCTTACACGTAAGATAGAATATAACGCAGGGTTTCGAATCGCTCAAATGACTGTGTAGGCCTATCTATAATCTTGCTTTTTTTCTTTCTTGTAGAAGCTCGATATGGGGTTTTCGCGACTTTTCGAGACGAATTCGCTTTCTATTTGCGAGGAGGAAGAATGGAAAAGGGGAAGTTTTACACTGAAGATGTTTTAGCACAAGGAACGCGTTTACTATGACAATGACGATTTCCCTGGAGCTGTCGTTAAAGAAGCCTACGTTTCGGCTTATTCATCTTTCGTAGATCTAAAACACGAATAAAAGTTACATCGATCAAAGTAGGAGAGAAGTCAGAAGGAAGTGAGGATCGTTTACGCGCGAAGGCGAACGGGCGAGCTGATTTTAAAGTTTTCTTTATTATTATTTTTTTTCCAAGGAGAATGATTTAGTGAAACAATTCATCCTACTCATGCTTATGAAGAGCATGAGTTTAATCGAGAACAACGTTTGTAAAGGGAACGATATGTATAACACCGTGGATGATACCTTTTTTTTTTTTTTATCTTTTATAACGTTATCTTCGATTAGGGAACTACCATAAATAATCAAATGCGCGCGCAAAAAAAAAAAAAAAAAAAATCCAAACACAAACGTTTAGACTTAAAAAAATATAAGAAAACTGACCCTTTTCACACATTAACACCAGGGGTTAGACACCTCACACTACCTGCATTCCTAATGCACCTGTTTGAATTTACAATTACAATTATAGAGAGGGACTTAACCCATGACTTTTCACTTCCTACTGTAAGTTTTCGTGCACAGAATACTTGAGATATAAAGGAGACATTATTATCAACAGCAGAATTGTAATAAAAAACAGTATTTCACCTTCACGCTGCTGCTCCTTCGGGATTATATGCAACATGATTTGTAATCAGTTAAACGAATTGCTCGATTATTGTTTCAACTTCTCTTATGATTTCTTTTTGTTATCATTGTTATTAAATTGAACCAAATCATCGATACTGGAAAACAAAGACAAAAGATTTGACCCAATTCACTTCGAAGGTTTTATATTTATAGACCCATTCCGAATATAAACAGATAAAGGAAATGATAAAGAACAAGTCGTCTTTTTAATTCAAAATTATTCGTAAGAAAGAGTCTGTCTGTTTCTTAGTTCCTATCTCGGGCCACTACCTGACTCTCATTCAGAATATCATCTAAGTATACTATAATATCTCTATACTATCTAATCTATCCCCTCCTGTTTCTGTGTCTGTCTCTCATATTGTCTTTCTCTCTCTCATTTTTCCTTTTTTACATCAGCTTGTAATAATGCCATCCCATTACTTGGTAACTTTCATATGATGACACACACAAACGCACATACACACACACACACACACACACACACACACACACACACACACACACACACACACACACACACACACACACACACACACACACACACACACACACACACAGACGGAAAAAAAACAAAGCAAAGAAAAAGAAAAAAAAAAACAGGTAATATATATGAAAATGAAATGAGCCACAATGAGAATAGAAAATAATGGTAACGTTTCGAACACTTCACGATTTCCTCTTCAGACTCACAACTGTGGAAAATATAAGATCGTTAATCCTCTAATATACAGGATTTAACTCTGTTTAATGAATGTTTCCATCTCGTTGCTGCAAAGTTTATTGCAATTACAAAAGGAATTTAAGCATCTCTCTGATTTCTTTATTCTCTCTTATCCTCTTTCTCTGGCTGTATCTTCTCTGTTTTTTCTTTCTGTTATTTCCACTTTGTTTTTGTATTTAAGGACATAGCACTTGTAAAATATGTCCCCTATTCACATCATTACATCGCTCATAGTACAACAATCTGAATTGGTAAAGTACCATGCAATGACGCTTTTAAATCACCCTTTTTCGCGTTAATTTGCAGGTGTGTATTTCGAAGCATGTGCCTGCTGTTCGTGTACATAAATTCGGACCCGAAGGAAGGGGATTATAAGTTGATTTTGGTCAACAATCGCGATGAAAACTACAACAGGCCGACTAAACCAGCTCGCTTCTGGGACTCGGGTATCTTGGGGGGTAAGTATCGAGGTAGCTTGTTATTTCTGATGGACTGATGTTGTAGAAGGATTCGAAGTTTTGTTTGCATTGGTGGTTGTATTTATTGAGGTTTGTTGGTACTGATTATTATTATTTATTATTTTTTTGTGTGTAGCAGTTCTTTATGTTGCCTTATATATGTCGCATTTCATATAAACTACACATATTTCATGTTTCATATTCATATAAACTACACATATTTCATATAAACTACACATATTTCATATAAAAACATATTTCATATAAACTACACATATTTTTGCTGTGTGAATAAGCGTAATTAAGTTATGTACCTTTTTCTGGCTAACGATGAATTGCTTTTACAATATTCAATACGGACAGAGGTGTCAAATTTTACTTGTACATGTAATCTTTTTTTCTTCTTCTTCTTCTTCTTCTTCTTCTTCTTCTTCTTCTTCTTCTTCTTCTTCTTCTTCTTCTTCTTCTTTCTTTCTTTCTATCTTTCTATCTATCTTTTAGTTTATTTTCACGAACTGCATACATACATAATAAACACGTTTTTTCCCTTTTTTCTCTCCGATTCTTCTGCTCGGTTCCCCAGGGGCTGACATGTTCGCAGGCCGGGAAGGAGGCACGTGGTTGGGCATGGATTCGGAACGGCAACATTGCCTGTTTGCTCAATATATTGCAACCGGTTGATGAGTTTATGAAAGATCAAGCAGCTCGAGGCTTTCTCGTCGTAGATTTCTTATTGGGACACGCCAATGGCTTTGAATACATGAGGAGCATTGCAGATTCAGGGGTAAAGTATAATGATTTTAACTTGGTGATTTTGGAACCAGCAGGTAATAGCTATAAAATAGGGTATTTTAATAGTTTGGAAAACGTCCCTCAAGTTATAGAGCCCGGAGTCCTCGGCTTTGGGAACAGCGTGGTTGAGAAGCCCTTCAAAAAAGTTCAAAGAGGCAAGAAGAAAATGGAGGAAGTCGTCAGCTGTTTCGGGAAGAGGAGCTACCAGAAACAGCTGATCCACGAGCTTTTCGAAATAACGAAAGACCGCGAGACGAATTTTCCAGACGATCAGCTGACTTACCAAGGTCGCCAATTCTCGAAGGACTTTTTAGACGAGTTGTGCAGAATACGGGTCTCCTGTACATCAGAAAACATTGGGACAAGGTAAATAGCTTGCTCCACCGTGGTTATAGAATTTTTCTCTTTTTGATTAGGTTAACAGGATTTCATTTTTCAACAGTGACAATAATTTTCGTTATTGTTCAGTGTTGGCATGTAGCTGAAAATCTCTCTCTCTCTCTCTCTCTCTTCTCTCTCTCTCTCTCTCTCTCTCTCTCTCTCTCCTCTCTCTCTCTCTCTCTCTCTCTCTCTCTCTCTCTCATCTATATATGTGTGTGTGTTTATATTGCTATAAGTATAGATATATGTATAGACAAAGGAAGCTCCATAAGATTCAGTCCATATTTAGACTGAATTGAACATATTTTTCTATCAAACTTCTAAAAGTTTCTATCCTTTTGATATTCATTAATCCCTATTAAGAAATAAAAATGTTATTTATATTGCTCGTGAAAATCAAGGTCTTGGAAAACTCTTAAAGATGCATATGGTAATTGTGCAGCATTTTTTCTTCCTTGTATCAACTTATTATTTATCCTGTACCTTGCAGAACAACAACAGTCATACTGGTAGGTCACAAAGGCGCCGTTACACACAAAGAGAAGACAATGGAGGAACCAATTGATATAAATAATGTCAAGTGGATTGTCAATAGTTACGATTTTAAGCTACAGATATAGGGCAATAATAAGCATAATTTTTCTGAATCTTTGCCTTAAAGAGTGAGAAAAGTTTATATTGTAGATTGACACTCATGAAGGTGAGGTCTAATGGAATTCAAGATGGGTGTAGATATTCCTTGTAGGTCGCCCAGCTAATCAATTTACGGAGAGAGCAAATAGGG